ATGTCCTGATGGCTGTGGCAAGGTCAGTCTCTACCACAGTAAATCTTGAGAACAAGAAAAGTAAAGATCGGGGCTGGAGAGATGCCTCAGTGGTTAAGAGCACTGGCTGCTCTTGCAGAGGACCCGGGTTCAAATCCCAGCACCCACATGGCAGTTAATCCTTTGTAACTCCAATTCCAGGGGATCCAACTCCCTCTTCTGACCTCTGTGGACATTGTACTTACATGGTACACCCACATACATGCAGTCAATACACTCATAAAAGGAAATCCATACACCATAAACAGTCAGTCATTCCTCCTTCTTCCCCCGTCCTCTCACATCCTGCACCTGTCTCTGTGGATTTACCTATTCCTAATGTTCTGTGGCAAGAGAATTATGAAATGAATGGGGTTTGTGACTGAATTTTTTAACTATTATATTAAAAATTATATGTGTACATATGTCTCTGTGTGTATATGCACCTGAGTGTAATGCCCCCAATGACCAGAAGAGGGAGTCAGAGCTCCTGGAGCAGAGTTACTGATAGTAATTAGCCACCATGTGGGTGCTGGGAGCCAAACATGGGTCCTCTGCAAGAGCAGCCAGTGTTCTTAACTGCTGAGCCATCTCACTGAACAGGGGTCACAGATAGTTTTTAGCCACCATGTGGGTGCTGGGAACTGAACATGGGTCCTCTGTGAGTGCAGCCAGTGCTCTTAACTGCTGAGCTCTCCAGTCCCTAGACATTTTTGTTTTAAGTCAAAACATATGGTGAATTTTTCTGGTTAGCATTTTGTCATGACTTTTAGCTTAATTACCTTGTGATCAGACAACATACTCGGTACAACATTGATTTTGTTGAGACTTGCTCCACTGGGCGTCTCAGTATCTGCATCATTTCTGTAAATACTGTGTGCGGTTTTCTTAATTGAGGGATTTTTATCGAGGCATATATAATGTATGCTCAGGTTTCAAGTGTGCAGTTGAACACGTTGCGGCAAATCCCTGCATGCAACTCTCCTGTAAAGTTATAGGATATTTCTATCACTCTGCTCCTCCTCCTGGCCCCGCCCATCATCTGCTCCTTCTCCTGGCCCCTCCCACCATCTGCTCCTCCTGGCCCCTCCCATCACTCTGCTCCTCCGCCTGGCCCCGCCCATCACTCTGCTCCTTTTCCTGGCCCCTCCCATCACTCTGCTCCTCCGCTTGGCCCCGCCCATCACTCTACTCCTCGCCTGGCCCCCTCTCAGTGTTTCCACACCTTCTGTAAGTTTCATTTCCGTTGCTGTGATAAAACACCTTGACAAAGAAACAATTGAGGGGGTGGGACAGAGCGCTGGCTCAGTGGTTAAGAGTATTCGCTGCTTTTGTAGAGGACCCAGGTTCAGTTCCCAGCATCCATATGGCAGCTAACAACCACCTGTAACTCCAGTTCCAGAGGGATCAGATTCCCTCTTCTGGCTTCTGTGGGCATTGCACACACGTGGTACGCTGACATACATACAACACTCAAACATATTAAAATAATTTTAAAAATGTATTTTCTTCCTGGGATGAAGAGATGGTGGAGTGGTTTAGCATGTGCATGGGTGGGGGGGGGTAAGGGGCTGGAGAAATGACTCAGCAGATTCCTTGACTCGAGGAATCTTCTAGAAAGTTGGAGAGATGCCTCAGTGGGGAAAGCACTTGCTCTGCAAGCATGAGGGCCTGTGTTTGGATGCCTGGAACCCACCTAAAGTCACATACGGTAGCACATATCTGTAATTCCAGCACACCTATGGTGAGGTGGGAGGTGGTGACGGGAAGATCCCCAGGCAGCTAGCTTGCCCTACACAAAGAATCTGCTAGATTGCTTTCCAAGGCCTGCCTTTCTGTGTATAACCGCCACGTGGGGAGGCCATGGCCCACAGTTAGAGCCATCCCGGAAGAGGCTACATTCTGTAGACACGGGTGCACTGTTCCATAGGTGCCCTCCAATTAAAGCACACTGATTATACCATTCAAATCGATTACATACCTACTCATTTTTATCGTGGTGGTTCATTCTATCATTTACTGTGAGTCACCAAAAACCTTCCATGACTACAGATTTGTTGACTTTACCTTTAGTGACGCCACCCCTTATTTTATATACCTGAGGATCTGTTAAATAACACATAAAAATTTGATAGCCAGGCATGGTGGTGTACACCTGTCATCCCAGCCCTGGGGAGGTAGAGGCAGGAGGATCGGGAGTTCAAAGTCATCCCTGCTCATGTAGGGAGTTCGAGGCCAGCCTGGGCTATGTGAGGCCCTTTTCTAGTTTGCTTTCAATTGCTGTCATGAATTCGCTGACCAAACCAACCTGGGGAAAGGGTTTATTTGGCTTACCGCTCACAGTCCATCATCAAGGGAAGCCAAGGTAGGAACTCAAGGCAGGAGCCTGGAGGCAGGAGCTGGAGCACAGGCCATGAAGGAACGCTGCTTACTGGCTTGCTCCCCTGGCCCCTGCTCAGCCTGCTTTCTTATACAACACAGGACCACCAGGGGTGGCACCGCCCACAGTGGGCTGGGCCCTCTCACATCACTCAACAACCAAGTAAATGCCCCACAGACTGTTCACAGACCAGTCCAGTAGAAGCAATTCCCCAGTCGAAGCTCCCTCTTCCCAGGGGCGTTGACAACTAAAGCTATCCAGCACAGACCCAGTCTCGAAAATAAACAAAACAACATTTGGCTATCTCTTTATGGATACATTCACAAATTGTGCTGACAAATATGTTTCTTGCTTGGTTTTGTTTTGACACAGTGTGTCTGTGCAACCCAGGCTAGCCTCAAACTCTCAACCTTGTTTCCGCCTCCAGTGTGCCTTCTTTACAGATGTGTACCACCTGATCAGGTGCTCTAGTTCTGACAACAGGCTTACAGTTCCAGGTTACAGTCTATCATTAAGGGGAAGTTGAGTCAGGAACTTAATGCTTGTGGTCACATGATATCTGCATTCAAGAGCAGAGAGAAACAAATTCATCCATGGTCTCTCTCCTTTCCCATGCAGTTCAGGACCTCCTGCCTAGGGATGGTGCCTCCCAGAGTGGACTGGGTCTTCTTTCATCAGTTAACAATCAAGATAGCCGCCCCCATATTCATGTTCACAGGGCAACCTGATCTAGACAATTCTTTAACTGAGGCTGTCTCCTTAGGTGATTCTAGGCTATGCAAACTTGACAAGTAAAAAGGAACTATCATATTAGTATAATTTATCAGTTCATATAGTTCAATAGACAGGTGTGCCCCTGACTCTGAGTCCCCCCTGTTTCACTCATATGAGCCCTCTCTGTGACTTTTTCTACTCATCCCCAAGCCCTAGTTACAGGGTCCTGAGGTAGGGTACAAATGAAACATTCTTAAAATCAGGGGAGTCGGACTGGAGAGATGGTACAGCAGTTAAGAGCACTGGCTGCTCTTGTAGAGATCTGGGTTTGGTTCCCAGCACCCACGTGGTGGCTAACAACCATCTGTAACTCCAGTTCCAGGGGACACGATATCCTCTTCTGCTTTTTTTAAAAATATTTTATTTATTCTTTATTTTATGTGTATGAATGTATTGCCTGCATGTATGTGAGTTCACCTGTGTCATGCAATACTTCAGAGGTCAGAAGAGGGGTTTGGATTCCCTTGGAACTGGAGCTAAGGATTGTTCCTAGCCTCCATGTGGGTGCTGGGAATCGAGCCCAGGTCCTCTACAAGAGCAGTCAGTGCTCTAACTGCTGAGCCATCTCTCCAGCCCCCAATGTCTTCTTCTGATTTTGGCAGGTACTGCACAACATGGATTCATATGAGTCCTCTCCGCGACTTTTGTGATACACTTATACACATAAAATAAAAATAAAATATTAAAAAATGTTTATTTCTATTTTTATTATGTGTGTGTGCGTGCGTGCGTGTGTATAGGGGTGTATGCATGTGAGTGCAGGTGCCCATGGAAGTCAGAAGATGGCATGAGATCCTCTGGAGCTGTAGTTATGGACAGTTGTTAGCTGCCATGTGGGTGCTGGGATTCAAATCTGGGTCTTTTGCAAGAACAGTCAGTGTTCTTAATCACTGAGCCATCTCTCCAGCCCCTTATTTCTATTTTTATTATGTGTGTGTGCGTGCGTGCGTGTGTATAGGGGTGTATGCATGTGAGTGCAGGTGCCCATGGAAGTCAGAAGATGGCATGAGATCCTCTGGAGCTGTAGTTATGGACAGTTGTTAGCCATCATGTGGGTGCTGGGAATGGAACCTGGGTCCTCTGGAAGAGCAGTTAGTACTCTTAACTGATGAGCCATCTTTCCAGCCCCATGTTTTTAACTTTTGTTTGGAGGAGGGGACAGGGTCTCACTGTGCAGCCCTGGCTGTTCTGGAACTCATTAAGTAGACTGGGCTGGTCTGAAACTTGCAGCCATCCTCTAGCCTCTGCCTCCTGAACGCTGGGGTTAAAGGCCTGTGTCACCCTGCCAGGCTGGAAAACAATTTTTTTTAATTCACTTTTAAAAATTCAGGAAAGTGGCCTGGGGCGATGGATCAGCAGTTAAGAGCGCTGGCTGCTCTTCCAGAGGACCTGGGTTCAGCTCCCAGCACCCACACAGCAGCTAACACTAGTTTTTAGAACTAGAAAGTTCTAGGGGATCTGACGCCTTCTTCTGCCCTCAGAGGCACCAGGCACACACGTGGTGCACTTACATACATGAAGGCAAACTGCTCATACACATAAAATGAAAAATACCTTTGTTAAAACTTCAGGAAAGAAGACAAAATCAAAAGTACATTGATCACAGCTGAAGTGGTACTCTCAGAAAATTCCACTTTTAGAAATGAGGGGCATCCACAGAACTGGTTTCTCTTAATGACCTGGATACAGGCCACTGCCCCAGAGCCCAGTGGCTGCTGCAGTCAATGCTCCCATTTCACAGATGGGGAAGTGAGACGCAGAGAGGAAAACCCATGTAGAATAACCCTATGAGCAGAAAGGGAGGCAAGGAGGACGCTTCAAACAGGACCTGTGCCGACCCCTGAACTTTATTTCTCCATCAGTGGGAACGGGAAAGGGTGGGAAACCAACCTTAACGCTGGTGAAGCTGGAGCAATGCCAGCTGTCAGAGGGCACTGCACACAGGGACCAGGTCTGAGGGAGGAGGCTGGGGTCTGGCCCCCAGGGTTGAGGCAGGAGGCTGGAACCTGGACCCCTGGATCTGAGGGAGGAAGCTAGGCTCTGGAGCCCTGGATCTGAGGGAAGAAGCTGGGCCTGGACTCCTGTGTCTGAACGAGGAGGCTGGAGTCTGGACCCCTGGGTCTGATGGAGGAGGGTAGGGTCTGGACCCCTGATTCTGAAGAGAGGAGGTTGGGGTCTGGACCCCTGGTCTGAGGGAGGAGGGCTGGGGTCTGGACCCTGGGTCTGAGGGAGGAGGCTGGGGTCTGGACCCTGGGTCTGAGGGGAGGAGGGCTGGGGCCTGAGGGAAGAGGGAGGGCTGGGAGAAGCCGGTCTCTCTCGGCCCCTCTGTAGGACATGTGAGAGACGCGGTGGTCCATGGCTAGTTGGCTTGGATGGTGGTGTGGATCCAGTCAGTGAACTTGCAGAGGTTGGTGTAGATGCTGGGTATCCCGGGCTGTCCACACTCTCCTTGTCCCATAGACACAAGCCCTTGCAGGAGTCTGTTGCACACTATGGGACCTCCAGAATCCCCCTGGGGAGGGGAGGGGAGGGGAGGGGGAGAGAGAGAGAGAGAGAGAGAGAGAGAGAGAAATCAGAACCGCACAAGCTGGAGCTAGATGTGAGGTGGAGGGCCAGGGAGATACAGACAGCCGGAAACTAGCCTGGAGGCCACCTGTGCCCACAGAGCTGGCTGCTTCCCTGGGGCTCCTGGTCTTCTGCCTCTGTCACTCCGCTCCCCTCAGGACTTGTCCACTTCTCTGCCTCCAGGTCTGTATTCTGTACCTATGTCCTCCGTTTGTCCCTTCTCAGAACTTCATCTCTATTTCTTGCAAGGTGTGTTTCTGTTTTTGTTTTTTTCTTTGTTGTAGTAGAAGGGATGGAACCCAGTGCCTTTGCTGATAAGCTGTACCACTGAACCACACCCCAGCCCCTTACTAGGGGAGTCTAGACAGGGGCTCCACCACTGAGCCACACCCCAACCCCTCATTGGGGGAGTCTAGGCAGGGGCTCCACCACTGAGCCACACCCCAGCCCCTCACTGGGGGAGTCTAGGCAGGGGCTCCACCACTGAGACACACCCCAGCCCCTCACTGGGGGATCCTAGGCAGGGGCTCCACCACTGAGCCACACCCCAGCCCCTCACTGCGGGAGTCTAGGCAGGGGCTCCACCACTGAGCCACACCCCAGCCCCTCACTGGGGGATCCTAGGCAGGGGCTCCACCACTGAGCCACACCCCAGCCCCTCACTGCGGGAGTCTAGGCAGGGGCTCCACCACTGAGCCACACCCCAGCCACTCACTCGGGGAGTCTAGGCAGGGGCTTTACCAGTCTTCTTTTTGTATTTTGAGATTCAGTCTCATTATGTTGCCCAGGCTGGATCCTTCTAACTCAGTCTGCTGAGTGACTGGGATTATAGGTCTGCACCCCAAGGATCAGTTGCTGGGTCTATTTCTGTGTTCCTCCCTATTCCGCTTGGGTTTTTTCTCCCGCACTTTGCCTCCTGCGTTGTGGGATACACTTTTCTGTTTTTCCCAGTCTCTCTCTTTGTCTCCTCTCAGAGCCCAAATGTCCCCACCACACCTTGTCCAATACTGTCTCCCCTATCCCCGAGCCCCCCTCTCCCAATCCCTGCTCCAGCCTCTCTGTCTCTCACATTACAGGTGTCCTTATGGTCTAGGCCTCCTCCAGCGCAGAACATGCTGAGGTGGTACACAGGGGCAAACAGCATCCGGCAGGCCTCCTCGGACACCACCGAGATGTTCACGCACTGCAACAGGCTTGGCAGTTTGCCTGGGACACAGAGTAGGGGGTCAGCCCCTCTTGGCTTGGTGAGGGAACCCCTCAGAGAGGGCAACTGGGCTCCCAGCAGGCTCACCGTTCCTCAGTCGTCCCCAGCCAGAGACCAGGCACGTATCCCCAGGGGTGGGACACTGGGAGGCCACTGGGATGCGCCTGATGGTGTTAGTCTCCATCACTGATTCATTCAACTTGATGAGCATGAGGTCGTTGGCGAAAGGCGGATTGTTATAGTCCGGATGCTGGATGGAGAGGTGGGCCTCCAACATCCGACTGCCTGACTCTGGAGAGGCTTCGAGATTGTGCAGGCCCAGTCCCACGGTGTAGGAGCTGAGGATCATGCAGCAGTGAGTTCCAAGGAGGCACCCATGTCTCCCCATATCGTTCTCCAACCCAAAGCAGCAGTGGCTTGGGGCCTTGCCCTTCCTTCCTCTCTGGACACTCTTGGTCCACCGCCTGCAGGATGATTCTTTCCCTTCCCTCAGCATCCCCCTCCCCACCCTGATCCTGCACTCACTCCTGTAAGCAGTGAGCCGCTGACAGCACCCACCGCGGATGCACCAGGACACCGGAGCAGAAAAAGCCGTCTTCATTGAACAGTGCTGCCTGCCAGGGCTGCGAATGTGGACGGCAGTCCTGGCCCTGTATGATTCGGCCGCTAGGACCTGAGGCCAGGGATCCTGGGGGCGGAGTCAGGGTTAGGGGCGTGAGGTGTGGAGCAGGGGGTGCCAGGTCTGGGCTTTCAGGGTAGGGTCAGGGTTCAGAGCAGGTTCAGGAGGACTTAGGGCCCAGGGGAGGAGTCAAGGTTCCAGGGTGGGGTCATGACTGGGGACGGGTTGTGAAGGGTCGACCCAAGTTCTGGGGCGGGGTCTGAGTGCAGGGCATGGTTAGAGTCAGGGCTAGCACAGTCTCAGGGCTCCCGGGGTTAGGATGTCCATGTAGGGTAGGGGCGTGGTGAGGGCTTCAGGGGCGGAGTCAGGGCTGGGGACAGGCTGAGGAACTGGACCAGGTTCTTAAGAGCGGGGTCAGCGTGAAGAAGTGCGGCTGGGGTTTGAGAAGATTTGGGGGAGGAGTCAGAGACCAGGGGAGGGTAAGGGGCGTGATGGGCGTGGCTAGGGCGGAGTCAGGGCTGGATCGGGGTGCTTGGGACCAATCCTGTCACCATGCAGGGGTGTGGACAGAGAGCTGACCTGGGGTCAGGGCTCCTGGGGGTGGAGTCAGTTCCCTTTGGAGACGTTAAGGCCCAGAGGCCAACTGAGGTCTGGGAGCCAGGAACAGCTCACAGGAGGATTATTTGTCAGCAGGATTATTTGTCAACTTGGAGTTGCAGATATCTTCGGGACCCATGAACCATTTCTAGTTCACACACAGCACCACGCCAGGAATCTCTCAGAACACGTGCAGGTTCGTCACCCAGCTTACCCAGACACTCAGCTCCCTGAGCTGGTCAGCTCTGTGACCCACAGAGCCAGTGCCTGCTCCTCCAAACCTCACCACAGTCACACCCAGATGCAGCCCATTCACCCAGTAAACATCATCATCCCGGGCCAGAGCCTGGAGCTCAGCTGGTAGTGTGCTTGCTTAGCATGCACCAAGTCCTGGGCTCCATTCCCAGCACCGCATAAAGGAGGCATGGTGGTGCATGCCTGCAATTCCATCACTTGGGAGGTGGAGGCAGAAAGGGTCAGGAGTTCAAGGTCAATCTTGGCTACTTAGTGAGTTCAAGGCTACATGAAACTCTGTCTAAAACAAAAATAAATAAAGGACCATCATTAACCCTCCCCCCTGCCCCCAGTATGGATTCCACAGGTCCAACCAGGACCGGCGACATAGGCACAGATCCTTAGTACTGGCACAAACTGTCACTCATTCACATAACATGCTGCTCCTTACAGGTATGACCACCCATCTGTCCCATGGTCATACATGAATTTTCCATGATTTGAGAAAAGGTATGTGTCACATTGTACTGTGACTTGAGTTACATGAGAGTCACAAAAAGTAGGGCACTGAGTCACATCTGAACATCGGTTGACACTGTTCCCTCAGGCACAGACTATCACCACACACATACACACACACACACACACGCACACACACACACTCAGATACCTGTGACCCCAAGGATGAAGTGCCCCAAGCACCAGCCCCAGAGGGTTCCCGCAGTGACCATCGTGTTGGCACCTGAAAAGGAAGATGGGTGAAACTTTGGGTGGCAGCCTGTCTCCCCATCTCCACCCCACCCCACTCTCCCTGGTTTCTCCCACCAGAGACTGGGTAGGCAGAACCCAAGATCTATCACCTAACTAACAGTCAGGATCCAGAACCTGAGGAGGGAGGAAGGGAGGGAGGGAGAGAGAGAGAAGGAAGAGGAGTAAAGGAAGGAGAAAAGCTGGAGGAGGAGGAGAGGAAGAAGAGGAGGAGGAGAGGAAGGAGGAGGAGGAGAAGAAGAGGAGGAGGAGGAGAGGAAGAAGAGGAGGAGGAGGACATAGAGAAGGTGTCTAGCTATCTATGAACAGGAGGAGGGAAAGACGGAGGCATGGATCCTCAGGACAAATGGAAGGTCCAGACATAGCGTTTCAGAGATCTGGTCAGAAGTAGCCTGAGAGGCAGAGACCAGAGCCAGAGACTTGGAAAGAGCCAGAAAGACCCGAGAGGGAGAGAGAGAGAGAGAGAGAGAGAGAGAGAGAGAGAGAGAGGAGAGAGAGGAGAGAGAGGAGAGAGAAAGACAGAGAGAGACAGAGAGAGAGACAGAGAGAGACAGAGGGCTTCTTACCTGCTGCCTCTGCTGCTGAGCTGAGCTCCTGCTTGCTGCCTCCCACAGGGGCCCCCATGGGGCTTATAAACCTCCTCAGCTTGAGCTGGCCTGCCCCCAAGGGGACACACTCCATACGTCAGGTGCTGTGGGCTCCAGCTCAAAGCCCTCAGGCTACCTCAAAGCCAAGTGGAGATGTGGGGCCCATGGAACGGACCTTGCCCAGACACTCACCTCCCTAACGCCCTCCCTCATCCCTTCTCATTCCCTCTGTCCTCCATGCTCTTCTCGTCCTCTCTTTTATTAAATGACTCTTTTCCCTCGCCCACTCCTATTTACCACCCCCTTTACAGCCTCCTTCCAGTGTGCCGTGGAAAATCCCCCAGCATCAAAGCCAGCCTGCGTCTTGTGCTTCCTTGGGGTCCGTGGTCCATGGACCTACCTCCTGTGGTCTCGATTTCCCCATGCATAGGATCTTGGTAACCATCAAGCCATACTCAGCCTGAATTCAGATAATCCTGGAAAATGGTATCTCCCTCTGCAGGGGCCAGGTGCACAGAGAACTCAAGTCGAGAGCCATCCTATGGCTGACATGCTGGGAACCAGGGAGAACAAACTGGCAACGTTCCTGGGGCTCACATCCCACCGAGGGTGGAAGGTACAGACAGTAAAGAAAACCACGGGGGTCAGGAAATAAGGTGGTGGTGGTTGGGAGTGTCTGAGAAGGGGATATTTAAGCTAGGAGCCCAGTGATGAAAAAGAGGAGGCCAGGCAGGCCAGAGTCACAGCAGAAGAGAGCGCAGCGTGGGGGACTGGAGGGCGCTTCCCCAGGAGATGATGCAGACAAGGACATCTGCAGAGATACCTTAGATATCATCTCTGGGCAGCCAGCAGGTGGGGAGATACTGCTTTCCAGGACTTAGGCTTTACTTTCAGAGAGATGTTTGTTAAGCATCGAGGGAGAGGGAGTGACTGAGCTGATTTACTTTGTAAAAGCATCCTGGTTTGATTGAGCTGACATGATCAGAGTGCATAGGGTTCGGCTGCAAGGTGGGGGTGGGATGGGGTAGGGTTTGGTGTGGGGGTGCAGGAGGCATGAATTGGAGAGGGGTTCTGATTGTGAGTGGGAAATATTGTATGAAACTTTAAAATCTCAATAAAAAAAAACATCCTGGGTGGGGAGTGATTGGGGGAGGGGATGGAGAAAGGTCAGGAGTGGAAAGATGTGAGGATTTTTGTGGGAGATGCTGGGGTCCAGGTGGGAGATACTGGGGTCTAGGTTGGATATACTGGGGTTTCAGTGGTAGATGCTGGGGTCTGGGTGGAAAATGCTGGGGTCTGGGTGGGAGAGCCTGGAGTCCCAGTGGGAGATGCTAGTGTTTGGGTATGAGATGCTTGGCTCTGGGTGGGAGATATTGGTGTCCAGGTGGCAGATCCTGGACTCTAGGTTGGAGATGCTGGGGTCCAGCAGGGCATGCTAGATCCATTGGCTGTCAAAGGTGCCTTTTGTGAGGGGTGGGGTCTGTGCTGTGGACAAGGAGGACAGTTAAAGGAGAGAGGAAAGAGCTCAGTGGTGTTTCCTCTGTGCTTGGGTCAAGCAGAGGTGATGTGGGATTATTTGGAAACAGATTCAGGATGGAAGAGGGGGCATTTCCGTTCTGACATGTTGGAACAATTTCCAGCAGGATGGGAACAGATGTCCCTTCGTTGGGGCAGAACCCAGTGTGGGATGTAGGGGGCAGGGGGCAGAGACAAGGAAGGACAGATATGGAAGGGGACTGGGACAGAGATACCAAATCAGAGTAGGATGAGGAGGGGCAGACAGAAGGAGACACACATAGACGTCATAAGATGGGAGAAGCGGAGACAGGTACAGAGAGGTACAGAGCCCGAGATGCACAGAAACAGAGGGACAGGGACAGAACCAGAGATGCACAGAAACAGAGGGACAGGGACAGAGCCAGAGATGCACAGAAACAGAGGGACAGGGACAGAGCCAGAGACACATTGCTGAGCTGCACCCTAGACCCTCACTGGGGGATCCTAGGCGGGGGCTCTACCACTGAGGCCCTCACTGGGGGAGTCTAGGCAGGGGCCCTACCACTGAGCCACACCCCAGCCCCTCACTGGGGGAGTCTAGGCAGGGGTCCACCCCTGAGCCACATCTTCTTACAGCATCCCACACACCTTTCACAGCCCATGGCACAATTTATGCATGTGTCAATTTCTGTTTGTTTTCTTAACGCTTTCCCTCGTAAACTAGGAAATATTTGAGGACAGAGCTGTGTGTCTTGGGTTTGCTGATGAAAACTGTTCCCTACAGATATACTGAGAAGAGAGACAAAAGGGTACAGATGGGAACGGAGCGCACAGAGGCAGACAGACAGACAGAGAGTGGGAGACTGAAGGATGGGAAAATAACAGCACAAGAGTAACAACTACCTATTTACTTAATTTGTTGCAGTAACTCCAGAGTTCCTGTATGTCTGGCTCTGTCTTGAGTCCATTCCGTACAGAATGGCTGGAGGATTCTTTACCCAGAATGCTTGGGCCAGAAGGACTTGGGGTTTTAGATTCTCCCAGTTACAGATTTTTTTTCCGTGTGTGTATTCATGTGCGTGGGTATGTGTGTGTGTGTGTGTGTGTGTGTGTGTGTGTGTGTGTGTGTGGAAGCCACAGGCTAATCTCAGCTGTTATTCCTTAGGTGTTTCCACCTTCTTATTTTTTGAGACAGGGTCTCTCCATAGCCTGTAACTCACTGATTCAACTAGGTAAGCTGGCCAGTGGGTCCCAGGAATACTCCTGTCCCCACCTCCCCAGAGCTGCCATTATAAGTGTAATCTCTTTTTTTGGTTTGTTTGTGTGTTGTTTGTCTTATTTTTGGTTTGAAAACAGGGTCTCTGTGTAGCCCCAGCTGGCCTGGAACTCACTATGTAGACCAGGCTGGCCTCTATCTCACAGAGATCTCCCTCCTCTGTTACCTGACTCTTTGCTTTTCTTTAATGTTGATTCTGGGGATGGAAGTCAGATCCTCATGCTTTCAAGCAAACACTTTACCCATTGAGCCTGATTCTCAAGTATTTTCAAATACATAATGAAAAATCTTGGGAATTGATCTCATGTCTAAACATGAAATTAATTTCTGTTTCTTATTCACCTTACTCACAGAGCCTGGAGGTGATTTACACAGCTTTCTCTTTTCCTTTAATCCTCTCCTGCTTATTTTTTAAGATACTTTGCTTTAATTAAAAATATTTTTCATTATTTTTATTTTATATGTATAAGTATATTGCCTGCATGTCTGTAAGCACACTTGTGCCATGCAATGCCAGCAGAGGTCAGAAGAGGGTGTTGGACCCCTAGAACTGGAGTTGGATGGTTGTTAGCTGCCATGTAGGTGCTGGGAACTGAACCTGGGTCCTCTGTAAGAACAACCAGTGCTCTTAACTGCTGAGACATCTCTCCAGCCTCTTAATTTTCAAAACGTACGTGTATGTATATGTGTGCACCATGTGGATCCTTTAGGGCCAGAAGAAGGCATCAGAACTAGAGTTACAGATGGTTATGAGCCACTGTCTGGGTGCTGGGAACTGAACCTGGGTCCTTACTCTTAACCACTGAGCCATCTCAAGCCATCAAGCTGTTTGGTTTCCTGCACCCATGTCAGGCAGCTCAAGCTCTTCTGTAACTCCAGCTCCAGGACATCTGATGCCCTCTTCTTGCTTCCATGGGCAACTGCATTCATATACACATACCCATACACAGACACACACATACACATTGTGTGGAAGAGTGTGGTGAAGGCCACCGACCTGACAACTCCACAGGGGACAGCAGTTCATTTGAGAGCAGACAGATCACTGGGCTGCCTCTCGGGGAGCAGAGAAATAGCGATCAGAAGGGCAGTCGGACATCTTTTACAGGCAGGTAAGTGGTTGAGTAAGTTTCCATGACGTAGGCTGGGCAGTTCAGGATTGGTTGGCCTCCTGACAAGCAGAGGGTCTTTCCCAGGCTAAGTTTGGACCCTCCATTTTAGAATATTGGGAGCTGCACCTCCATTTTAGGAGTCTGCCACCTAACACACATGACTAAAAAGAAAATAAATTTTAAAACATTATCACATTTTATTTATTTGCGGGGGCGCGGTGGGCACATCGATGCTGCAGCACACTTGTAGGTTTCAAAGGACAGCTTGTGGGAAGATGTTCTCTCCACTGTGTGTGTCCAAGGAATGGAATTCAGATCGTCAGGCTTGGCCATAAGCACCTTAGTCTGTGGAGTCACTTTGGATACCCCTCTCCCCACTTTGATATTTTTTTCTGAAACAATGTCACTCTGTAGTGCAGGCTGGCCTCAAACTCCAGGTAATCCTCCTGCCTCAGTCTCCTGAGTGCTGGGATAAGTGTGCGCCTCCACATCCAGTGGTTTTACACAACTTTCTTAACAATTTTACATACAAAGCCAGGTTTTGTGGCATGGACTTTCCCCCGGAGGGGGAAAATTCCTAAAAACTCCAGATTTTGGAGCATTTTGGATTTAGGATTTTCTAACTTAGAGACCCTCAACCTATGACTCTTTTCTTCATCAATGACATGGTGACATAGAAAGGTTTGTGGGCTTTGACAGATGAGGAAACTGAGGCACAAAGTAGTAATAAGTTACCCACAGTCACAGAAAGACAGGCCAGGAGCAGCAGAGACAAACACAGACAGAGAGCAAGAGGGGGTCTCCATGGAGAGAGAAGGTGGTTGAAGAGACAGACACTGAGTGCTTCAGGCACTAGGATTAATATAACAACAATTCAGAAACTAGAAGACTAGCATTTCAGGGCTGGAGAGATGGTTCAGCGGTTAGAGCACTGGCTGCTCTTGCAGAAGATCCGGGTTCAGTTTCCAGCACCCACATGGCGATTAACAACCATCCATCCTTCCAGTTCCAGGGGATCTGATTACCTCTTCTGACCTCCATGGGCACTGCACGACAGGGACATACTTACATACATGCAGGCAGTACTCATATACATAAAATAAAAATAGTAAATAAAAAATATTTTTTAAAAAGAATACATTTCTCTGTCACCTACTCCTACAAGTGCCATTGGAACAACTTTATATACGTTTAATTTGTTTTAATCTTCACAATAACCCCATGAGGTCCCGTATTATGCCCA